TGTGAATCTGAGGCCAGGATGTGAATCTGAGGCCAGGATGTGAATCTGAGGCCAGGATGTGAATCTGAGGCCAGGATGTGAATCTGAGGCCAGGATGTGAATCTGAGGCCAGGATGTGAATCTGAGGCCAGGATGTGAATCTGAGGCCAGGATGTGAATCTGAGGTCGGGACCTGAAACTGCGGCTGTTATCTGAAACCAAGGACAGGATCTAAAATTATGGATGGAATCTAGATCTGAATCAAAGGATCTGAATCAAAGGATCTGAATCAAAGGATCTGAATCTGAATCTGAATCTAAGGCTGGGATCTTAATCCAAAGAAGGGATCTGGATCTGAACCAGAGCTGAGATCTGAATCTAAAAACTGGATTTGAATCCGAGGCTGGGATCTGAATCTGAGGTATGAAAATAGAACTATAGTTATTTCACCTGTAATGATAATGTATGTGTGCCACTCCTTTTCAAGACATAAAAATAAATTGACATTCACACTGTTGAATTATTATTATCAAATTAGTGCATATGGCAGTAATTAATTTTGATGACTCCGTGCATACCAGTAATTAGGAGATTTGATCAGTTGACACATATGAATTATGATTGATTACTAAATGGAGTTCCTTTCCATCAGCACTACGCTCACTTCTTATTATATCTCTACATTTTCTCATTTTTGCAACATATCAGAAGAAATCTTTGGAATTTCAATGAGTTCATATGATACAATGCAATAACAGGTTGTTTATTTTCTTTGACGTACATAACAAATATTTGTGGGGATTGAAAGATGAAGCTGTGAAGCATCAGCAGAGAGTTGAACACAAATCGGATCATATCAGTACAATATCAGATTTTTTTTTTATAGCTTTCAATTGTTACAAAGAAGTTTATTTCAGTCAGTTTCAGTTATTTCTATAGAAAGCAATTTGTTTTTTTACAATGCGTACCCCAGATGTTAGAAACCTGTGACAGAAAAGCAATTGGAGCCATCATGGTTTAAGTTGACATATTCCATTCCACCGATTCAATTCATAGATGACTTTTTCGTAGATTTCATAATACGGTATTTATAATTCAAGAAGAGGTTTTATCAAACGTCAGGGGACACGAGTCATTTTACTCTCAATGAATAAAGGATACAATAAATTAAGCTTAGTAGTATCTTGGAAGATGACTTCCTTTCCTTAATACTTATATAGAAAGATATATTTCATAAACAGACATCAACATTTAAAGATGTCTGCCAAGTATTATGGCTGATCAATAGTTTTATGAAAGTTTTTTTTTATATTTTGCGAAAATTATTGCTAAAAATTGGCGTCATGAACCAAATTTTCAAAATGAAGATGATTACTGTCTGTGGGTTATGAAGTTAATGCAAATGTACATGAAACTCTTAAAACATTACCTGTTCAATTAGAACTATATTTTACAATATTAACGGTGTTTACAGTAAATTCACAATGATCACACACATGGTGTAAACTATTAAGTTAATGCGTTTCAGTCGCTGTTATTTCGTGTAAAACAAGTGAAGAATACATACATGTTGCATGGAACCCATAGCAATAATAACACCCAATTATAATTTGTGTGTATAAATTTACTTATTGAAGGGGTTCAAGCAAAAGATACATTATGAGCATACATGCAATGTATTTTGGAAAAGAAATTTTCGTTAAAAAATATTCAAAAATGTTATCACTCTAAAAACTTTTAAAATTAAATGACAATTTAAAAAAAAAAATATATATAATAGTAGGTTCCTTATCAATAACAACATACAAATTTTTCAATTCAAATTTTCTAAATATAAACCCATACTTTCGGATACATGTAGCAACAATTGCAACATTTTAATACAAAGTTAAAGTGAATACATTTTCTAGCAACCCCACAATTTAATTTTACTTTTTACATCAATATTTAATAAAGGTGCCTATTATTGAAAGAATGGAGACCCATTTGGTATTTGGCATTCAATACCACACGCTAACAGCTACAAACCTACGTGATGTGGGTTTCATTTTAGCGAAATGCTGCTAAAGTGATAACAGAAATGCAGTTCACAAATCAGCAGCACTCAAATTAATTTTTATTCAAAATACAAAATTACAGGAAATTATTTATATTTCACAGATGACTATACGAGATAATGTAACTGGAAATAAATTTATGCTGTTCTTCATTGTATGCAACACAATACAATGTAATGCATCCATGCACAGTGTGGTTTATGCCTCTGGGTTGGAAATCTGAGAACAAAGAATCTCAATCGTATTGTATACTTTCATAACTCTCTTCCATAGAGTCAATGGTAATGATCACTGGACAATGCTATGATGGAATCAGTGGAAATGACCAATGCTATGACGGGGGTCAGTGGAAATGACCAATGCTATGACGGGGTCAGTGGAAATGACCAATGCTATGACGGGGTCAGTAGAAATGACCAATGCTATGACGGGGGTCAGTGGAAATGACCAATGCTATGACGGGGTAAGTGGAAATGACCAATGCTATGACAGGGTCAGTGGAAATGACCAATGCTATGACGGGGGTCAGTGGAAATGACCAATGCTATGACGGGGTAAGTGGAAATGACCAATGCCATGACAGGGTCAGTGGAAATGACCAATGCTATGACGGGGTCAGTGGAAATGACCAATGCTATGACAGGGTCAGTGGAAATGGCCATTGGAGCATACTATGACAGGGTAAGTGGAAATGACCATTGGAGCATACTATGACAGGGTCAGTGGAAATGGCCGTTGGAGCATACTATGACATGGCAAATAAAAATGACCAATGCTATGTCGGGGTCAGTGGAAGTGACCAATGCTTTGACGGGGTCAGTGGAAATGACCAATACTATGACAGGGTCAGTGGAAATGAACATTGGAGCATACTATGACAGGGCCAATAAAAATGACCAATGCTATGACAGGGTCAGTGGAAGTGACCAATGCTATGACGGGGTTAGTGGAAATGACCAATGCTATGACGGGGTCAGTGGAAATGACCAATGCTATGACGGGGTCTGTGGAAATGACCAATGCTATGACGGGGTCAGTGGAAAAGACCAATGCTATGACAAGGTCAGTGGAAATGGCCATTGGAGCATACTATGACGGGCCAATAAAAATGACCAATGCTATGTCGGGGTCAGTGGAAATGGTCATTGGGGCATACTATGACGGGGTCAGTGGAAGTGACCAATGCTATGACGGGGTCAGTGGAAATGGCTGTTGGAGCATACTATGACGGGGTCAGTGGAAAATGACCAATCCTATGACGGGGTCTGTGGAAATGGCCGTTGGAGCATACTATGGACCATACTACGATGGGGTCAGCAGAAATGATGGTTGGGCGATGTATAGCATATTGTATTTCAATGGAAATCGGCTCTGTCTGACTTGAAACATAATATGCATTGTAACATTATTCATCAATTAGACATCAGGATCTGTGTTTGAAACTGTGTATTAGTTGGTTGAAAGTGAAAAAAACAAGATCTGTATATGATGGGAAATAAAAATCTACTAGTCTGAAAATGAGCTCTAGTCTATGTCTAAACATTGTCAACAACAAAACAAATAATTGTGAGGACAGAGACCATTGCAACTTTACTGGTGATTCAACTTTTAAAATGATTGACAGATGGTAATAAAATTATTTGTCCTTCAGACTAGTGTAAATCAGTGGTTCATAAACAAATAAAATACATTAGACTGTGAGATGGAACTAGGGTAATTTGCAATCTTTACAATGTGGTAGCATTCTCGGTGAGCACCTGTTCCAGCTTTGCGTAAATGTTTTACGTGTATATACAGAGCAATGAAGGATAACGTAAGAAGTGGAAGCTGGGGATTGTTTGATGAAAGACCCAATCAGAGAGGAGTAATATGCCTTATGCATGACCCCTGAAAGTCACACACCCTGGTATGAGGGGGTGGGGGTGATTGTTACCACTATTTAGGAAATGTTTTTGCCATTTTTAATTGTTTTTTTTAACTTAAATGACAACTTGGGGGGGGGGCAATTCTGATTGATAGTAGGTAAATTTTTACCCCCACAAAGTATAAATAAGGATGTGTGACCATTTGGAAGACATGCACAAGGTTTATTGGCAGCCATGGTTTGTATCACTCCTCAATATAGTTCAAGCCAGATTAACCCTTTCATGACCAGATTTTTCCTGTCAAAAAAAATCTATGACAACCATTTTATAACCATTTCAACAATAGTTTGAACCAGATAAAAAGATAGGGATGCTTACCGGTTTTGATCGAAAGAATTGAAAATTTCAATCAAGATTTGTATAGGAAAGAGACAGAATTTAACATTGACAGTAAACTTTGCAGAATTACGTCAACTTCAGACAGTGAAGCGAAATCCAAAATACAGGGCAATTACCTTACTCATAGTTCTAAACATAATTATGGTTGAAAAAGCCCTCATACCTGACTTTGTAATGACTTTTCATGTGCTCTTTCAGAAGAGATGATTTATTGAATTCTTTAGTGCATATTCTACATGGATAAATGCGATCTCCAGCTTCCTCGGCCCGATGCTCCTGAATATGTCGATCAAGTTCGCTCTGAAAACAATAAAAATACAATACTAAATACAAAAGGCGGGATTACTTAGGTGAGATGGTGTCTGGGGACTCTCTGTCAAGTATTAGACTAATAGCAGCAGTAAGAAAAAAAACAGAGAGATAAGTCATCCCATAAGAATAGAGGCACTATAACTACAGTCAGTGCTGCAGGCAAGTCAAAGACGCAATTCTCACAGTGAACGCAAGGTAACTTATCTTTAGTGCTCAAGATGAATACGAGTTACTTCGCTCATGTTGATTTGTAAAAAAGTTTTGAAATAAATAACTAGAACAATGGGATAATTTCCTTTTTGAAAGCTGTGATTTTACCAGTCAACATTTTGGTCTAATTTCTTTTTTAATTTTGGACCAAATGAACATCAATTTGTTTTTGGAAAAATAAAATTTATGCTTGTTTATTTTATGAAAGAGGACTGAACAGACTTCTTAAGATTTATGACAAACACAATGGCAAGTTGTATGATTGCCTTACGACATCATATTTTACTGAAATACTGTGTTGATATAAGAAAACACTTTCAAAGGGAAGCTTAATCCCCCAAACTGAAGTTAGGTGGATAATCCAACCAGTGAAAATGCACGTTTTTGTGACATTTATAATTGGAGATATTGAGGAGAATATATAATATCCATTGCCAAAAACTGTGCACATACATTGTTGCATGTGGTATCCATGCAAATATAAATAAGTGTATTAAAAATACATATATTTGCTTTCACTTGAGAAACTAAAAATCTAAAATAGCAATAAATGCATGAAGAAGTAAAGTATTTCATAGTGACTTTTTTTATGATAATTATGTACCCAAAATTCAATTCCATTATCTAGACGTCATTTTGAGATACGTTTCAAAAATATCATACCAAATTCCAACACAAATGACCCACCAGACAGACAGGAGGACAGACAGATGCACTACATGTATCTCAATAGCTCATCACACCTGCAGTGCGAAAAAGCCAACAACTATTGATTGAAAAGATGCTAATATATCATATGTAAATTTATGCTAATATATAATATGCAAATTTATGCTAATATTTATGAATCCGAGTACCAGCAACTATGTTCCCATTTGAAGTATTGTGAGTAGATTGGGTTATCTGTTCCAAATGTTTTTTCCTCAATATTTTGACATGTTGCAAACTTACTACTCATAAAATTGATAGAGTTGAAACATGTTCTGTTATTTTTCAACTAAACCCTTTCACCACCAAACTTTCTCGCCTAAATGTTTCTGCACTCTTTTCTAATATTCTTCAATATTTCTGGAAATGAACCCTAAATTTGGAGCCAACAGAGTCAATTTTCAGTTTTTACTAAAAAATTTGGCTATTTTTGTCCAAATCTTCTGAAGGAAAGTGCAAGACTATAAACGGGACTATTTCGTGAATTTGTGCTGTGAAAAGGGAACTGCTGATGAAAAGGCTACATTTGTATATTTAAAATTTCAGATCCAGTATTTACAGCTTTCATCAACTTCTAATCAGGGAGTCAAAATTAAGATGGGTAAATATGGAAAGTACTTGTCGCTATGGTCAGATGAACAGTTTCTACGACTGACCACTTGGGGTTACAGTACCAAAACCATGCTTTCAGAATTGTCAAACCTTTTGAGTGTCAGATATTTTTCCCACCCAAAATTTAGTGCAAATATTTTCACATTTTGTGAAATTGTAACTAAATTTCATTATCATTTTAACCCATACAGACAAGTTTAGGTATATCTTTTAGTTTTTGATTAAAAAGTTTGTCAATTTTTATCAACATTTCATGTGCAGAAGAAGCAGACTGTATAAAAGTTGAAAATGGTGCTCTCAAAGAGATAAACCCCTATGAAATTATGAACCAAGAATGACAATTTTATGTAAAATATGTTTTAATTTATCTCACATCAATACTAGGACAGGCAATTAAACACTTTTTTTTAATTTCAACTCCCTACCTAATTAATATCTCAGGATAAATGATTTTTAGGTCCAGAAAACAATATTCATATTTCTGGTATTATGTACACAAATTAAAAAAAAATTGATTTAAAAATTTGTTTTCTGGGGCACAAAACGTTCTTTACTTAGGTTCTGCAAGATTAATAATACGTGTTCAAAAGATATTATCTTGTACTTTATCATAATGAAAATGAATATTTGTTCTCGCCTTGTTTCTTAAAGAGAAAAATTAATGTTTTTGACAAGGACATACAGGAATGAAGGTATCAATATTATGGGCGCCTGTAAAATATAGTAATACAGCTTAATATCTGATCTCAGCTGCAGATGACAAGCAGCATTATGAATATCCAGGATAGCCTACTCCTTAATACTTGCACACAAGGAGTGCAGAGTTTTATTTTATATATTTTGCCTGAAACCAGTGACTTATTTTTGCCTAGAAATAAATACTCGGAACAGTGGTGGATTTGGAGGGAGGCACAGGAGGTGCAAGAGACTCATGCCTCCCCCTAGAGCCGTTGTGA